GTACAACTCACAGAGAACTTTTAATGATCAGCCACAGTTATGTTCTGGGTCAGATCGCTGGGATGTAAAACCAGTTCTTACCCTGCTTGCTCGCTCTACATGTTTGTAGTTTGTAGTGGAGCAGCGGACGATCATGACGTACTCGTCACAGAGCGAGTCGGGACTGAAGCTGACGGTCAGAGCTGATCCTTGTGCAGACAAACTGAAGTTTGCCTCCCACATACTCCTGCAGCACACACACACACGTTACACACCGTTTATAACACCCAGTCAGTCTGATGGAGGATGAATCACTCACCTCGCTCTGCGCAGAACTGGGTCATCTTCATCCTGGGATCTTCACAACCTGGTGAAAACAGATTTAAAGAATGTAACGAACAGAGGACTTTAACAGTCTGTGTTTAACAGCTGCTGTGGTGAGCGTCTCAGAAGCCTCAAAACCTGTTTGGGTTGATTTTCTGTCAATGATCCAGCACTAAACCATCTTATTTATTTATTTAACAAATAACTCAGATTAACAGTTTCATCTTTGGCTCTATGATTCTAAACATGATGATCTACGGGAAGATTCAACCAGCCCAAAGATAAATCAGTCGAGTTGAAAATAAAATAAAGATCCATCATCTGGTTTTTGTTCACAATGAAGTGGACAAGTTAGCAGAAACATTTTCAGACCGCAGGAACTTTTTCATGGCTCCAAAACCCCCTTCTTTATTAGGTGTCTGCATTTGCACCGCCACGGTACCAACTCTGAAGCAGGCGCTAAAAAGGATCCTCTTAAGGGAGTTCTGGGAACTAAAGAAGTTCATAGTTCGGTGCTGTGCTGTGCTTTGAGTGTTCCAACGGTTCTTAGAAACTAGGCAAAGGTTCCTGCGATCTGAAACCTTTTACTTCGTAGAACCCCGTTTAGAGGAACCTTCTCAGCTCCTGCTTCAGAGTTTGGGTCCCGACACATGGCCAGTTAGTTCATTGCAAGTCATAGTGCATTATTTTCCCATGATGCACCTGTTTTATGAAACAGATGTGTAAAGTTGATATTTCCAATTTAAAGTAATATCTCGCTCTTAGTCTTTAGGACTCCCAGATGTTCTGTGTTTGAGCCGTCCACTCATCCCACAGAGAATCATTTTGTTGGACGATGTGAAGAAGATCAGATCTCCCCAAACCCGCTCATCGCTTCAGCTGTGGAACAAATACAAACCGACCTTTCAGGTGTAAATAATCCAAAATGTTGTTTGTTATTAAACTCACCGGGAACGGAGATGTCGGCGCTGACGTCGTAGTAACTGTGTCCTAACTCTGGTTTAGGGATGTTAAAGACGGAGACTTTGTAACTCTGACCGGGCTCCACCACCAACATGTCTGCAGAGAACGCCCACTGAGACACAACATAACACATCTGTCAGAGGGACACACCTGAGACACAACATAACACATCTGTCAGAGGGACACACCTGAGACACAACATAACACATCTGTCAGAGGGACACACCTGAGACACAACATGACACATCTGTCAGAGAGACACCATGGAGTTGCTCTGTGGTAACCACCAGGAGAGAACAGGATGTTTGGGTTGCTTAGCAACAGTCTAGTTTCACTTTAACTCTGGAACTAGTTGAGTTGGTGAAGTTAGAAACGTATCTCTTGTTATTTTTTTTTTGTTCTCATTGTTTTCTGCTTGTTTAACTGTTGTATTAAAGTAACATCTCACTGTAGAGAGATGTTGTTCTGGATATCGGCCTGATATTGGTGTCAATATGAAACACAGGTATAGTGTTTGAGGAGGTGATGGTCTCACCTTCTCCCCCGACGGACTCCTCATGGGCAGAGTTTCTGTCAGAGAGAACCGAACACAGCGGTTCTCGTTGGTCGGCAGCACCAGGACGTGTAACTCTGTGGCGTTCAGGTACCGAATGCTACCTGCACAGGTGCACACAGCTCAGGTCACTATGTCATCATTATTCTATCACATAGAGATGACTTACTGACAGCACACATGCTCACCGTCATCCTTTATCTTCCACTTAGAGAGCAGGAACGGCTGCAGCTGACCCGCCTCATCCCGCCTCGTCTCCACGGAAACCTGCAGCTCCTCAGGACCGCTCGGGGTGTATTCATTCACAACCAGCCAGCTCCTGTCCATACAGTTAGCTATAACACACACACACACACACACACACACACACACACACACAATGTTCATCCTTCTCTATGTTAACTGCGCAGCTCACTACTATCATTGAGATGAAAACTGGGGCATGCCGTCATCTCCTCGTCTGACACTGACCATGCGGCGGCGGCAGAGGTGGCGTGTAAATACCTCTAAAGAAGCTATCAGTCTTCTCTCTGATGGTCTCACTTCCTTTAGGTCATAAAGAGGACTACATATTTTTGTTTCTTTTGATCATATGTGATGGGGAGATAGCTCTCGTGCCAGCTTTCTAAGTATTATAATATATTAATGACTAATAATTAAAGGTCCAATCAGTGAGATGTGTTAAATGATTAAGTGACCTTACTATATGATTAGACATTAAGGAAACATGCTATGAGGAAGTGCTGGCTTCTCTGACAACAATGCAGCAGTCAGTATGTCCTCCTTCTAACTTTAGATTCTGCTCCTGAATGCTCTGGATTTGTTTGAACCAGAGAAGGTAGGCGGTTTTAAGGCACCCCCACATGACCGTTTTGGACACCCCTCGGTTTGCCAGATATGAGAGCAGTTATCAGGTCAAACCAACAGGTGTTGCAGAGATGGAAGCGGGCAAGAGAAGTGGTTCAGATAAAAGTGATTGTACCCGACCTAAAAAGCCTCTGCATGTTTCTAATAAGCTCCACGAGCAGAAACGTGCTCAAACTAGGATCAATATTGGAGATGCTTTTGAAAAATGGAGAGAGGTTAGAACACAGAAAGGTTTACAGACCGATGCAGAGCTGGATAAACACTGAAGCTTCAGTGAGGTCCGAGAATCTTTGTCATCAATCACAAAACAAATTGAAAACATCTGGATCAAAGGCTACTCACTCTCCATGATGTCACACTTCAAACCCTGAAACAGAAAAGAAAGAAAGAAATCAAAAAACAGGTAGATTATAAATGTTTACCTGTTTACTCAGCTAGATTATACATGTTTACCTGTTTACTCAGGTAGATTACAACACCTGAACAGTTGAAACAGAATAGGCTATATGATATGATAACTAAAGTAAACATTATATATATTCAGCTGAGCTCCTCAAACGGCTTCAGATTGAAGATTCTTTCAGATTCTTTGTTCAGTTTTCCGACAAAAGCAGAATCACCTGTCGGTCCTGAACCAAGGTGACACTTCACAGAGCTTACCTGTTGTGAGCAGTTGAGGGGGCCCCGTGATGAGACCCTCAGAGTGACGGACACAGACACACACAGACCCACAAAAAGCGTCCGTAGAAGAAGAATCATTGTCGACAAAGTTTCATGAGTTCAGACTCCATCAGAGTAAAACTTCACACTGCGGCGGAAACTTAGAAAGACTTCCTGCTTTATACGTAAATCGCCTGTCCTGTTTACCGTAACTGACATCATGATGCGTTCACTGTGCCTCGGAATACAGAGGCACACTGTGCTCACCCAAAAGACAAAGACCCCTCTGTGCTCAGGTAAGGTCAGGAACATCACCTTTACCTTTAGAGAGCGGCAGGTTTCAAACCTGTCCACAGGAGGACAGTGTGTGTTTGTTCACAGAGTTAGGTGTCCCATCAGTCTCTTCTATGATGACATAAGGGATGTACAAATGTCTTCCATTCATGTGGATTTTTTTCTGCCTGGATGAGTGTTTATTTTTTTAAAGCAGATTGTCTCTGTAAAGCCTGAGAGAGAAGGTAGAATATATATTTATATATTTCAGACTAAGCTTTAAAAGAGCCTGAATCTTCCTTTGTAATGACTTGTTGTGAATTGTTGAACCACATTGACTGTATTTCTGCAGGGTTGTACACTTTGTGTGCATGCTAATTTCTACCAGAATGTTTTTATCCCCACAGACCTTGAATGCATCACAACCTTATCTTCAGATCTCACAGGAACATGTTGGGGAGAGTCTCAGTGACCTGCAGACACATTTCAGATCTCCATCCTGATTACAGACAAGAAGAGAAGATATGTGGGCTGAGTTTAAAGTGTGCATGAAATGATCAGAATGTGTGTGTGTGTGTGTGTGTGTGTGTGTGTGTGTGTGTGTGTGTGTGTGTGTGTGTGTGTGTGTGTGTGTGTGTGTGTGTGTGTGTGTGTGTGTGTGTGTGTGTGCGTGTGTGTGTGTCATCTTCAAACTGAGTCAGAGGTTTTTTTTTATTAAACTCTTCTGCCCACTCTGATCTAAAGGAAACGTTAATATTTCACTTGAACACGACAGGAAGTAGAGCGGGAGGAGGACTTAGTCACTTCTACACAGCTGCATTTTCCCTTATTCACCACCAGGGGGCAGAAGAACACCTCACTGCAGCAGAAAGATCCTCTGTGTGTTCTTACAGTCTGCATGTATTTAAAGTCATACCTACCTAAGAATGTGTGTACCTTGCTGGTTGCTGTGTGTGATCCAGGTTCCAGTAGGTGTGGCTGGGTCAACGTGAATTAAGAAGACCTGAACCCTATGTTCCCAATCCATAAGAGCAGACCGTATTTCCTCATGGGGGGGAGACGAGGGGAAGGAGAGACACAGACACGTCACTCATCACTCCTTCTCTCATGCATCACGACTGATTAACTAACGTCAACACGTGTGTGTGTGTGTGTGTGTATGTGTGTGGCCACCAGGCCATCAGCACCCTTGTGTCCTCTCTCAGCTATCAGACTGCGTTCACTCGCAGCGTTAAGTGGCATGACTGATTCTCGTGGTTGTTCTTTTGCACATGTGGGTCAGTTTAGGACCAAGACCAGTTCCCACAGGAGTCTGATATAGGCCACATTCTAAAAAAACAACATGAACAGCCAATCAAAAACATCAGATCTGAACAAAAGCATTAAGGAGACACACGTGTGCCAGTGCAGGTTTCAGTGCTGCTTTAAAAAACAAGATGGCTGCCACTGAAACATTCTGAATCTGCTGTTATGTCACTGTTGGTAACTGAACCATGCCATGACACATGTCTCTGAGGTATGGTTCTGAAGAAGTCACATAAACTGTCCAGCAGCTCTCTCTGGTCTGCATCTGTCGTCAACAAGGTGAGCTGAGAGGTTCCAGGCCGGGACATGCTGGGCCAGAATAAGATATAAAGAAGGAGAAAGGAATGGAGGAACGTGATCCTGCAGACACAGGAACCTCTCCCAGCTCATCACAGGCAGCGTGATTATGACTGTGACTGTGACTGTGACGGAGGAGGTCATCTTATCTCTGCTGTTTATTCCCGACATTAGACCTCTTATCTCAGAATGTGAATCTGCTACATCCTGACATCAACATGTTTGTTAGTATCTCAGCGAGGTCTGCTCAGTGTCAGAGTCAGTACTCCATGTAAGGAGCAAGATCACAGAAAAAAGTACATCTGAGGTCCAGAGGCTTTTACAAGAAGACAGCAGAGCCTGAAGACGCGAATGGTTTCAAACATCACAATGAACCTGCAGAGTGTTTGTCTACCTCCCTCCCTCAGTCAGAGTATGAATGAGTGTTGGTCTACCTCCTTCAGTCAGAGTATGAATGAGTGTTTGTCTACCTCTCTCTTTCAGTCAGAGTATGAATGAGTGTTGGTCTACCTCCTTCAGTCAGAGTATGAATGAGTGTTTGTCTGCCTCCCTCCTTCAGTCAGAGTATGAATGAGTGTTTGTCTACCTCCATCCTTCAGTCAAAGTATGAATGAGTGTTGGTCTACCTCCTTCAGTCAGAGTATGAATGAGTGTTGGTCTACCTCCCTCCTTCAGTCAGAGTATGAATGAGTGTTTGTCTACCTCCTTCAGTCAAAGTATGAATGAGTGTTGGTCTACCTCCTTCAGTCAAAGTATGAATGAGTGTTGGTCTACCTCCTTCAGTCAGAGTATGAATGAGTGTTGGTCTACCTCCCTCCTTCAGTCAGAGTATGAATGAGTGTTGGTCTACCTCCTTCAGTCAGAGTATGAATGAGTGTTGGTCTACCTCCCTCCTTCAATCAGAGTATGAATGAGTGTTCATCTACCTCCTTCAGTCAGAGTATGAATGAGTGTTGGTCTACCTCCCTCCTTCAGTCAGAGTATGAATGAGTGTTGGTCTACTTCCCTCCTTCAGTCAGAGTATGAATGAGTGTTTGTCTACCTCCTTCAGTCAGAGTATGAATGAGTGTTCGTCTACCTCCCTCCTTCAGTCAGAGTATGAATGAGTGTTGGTCTACCTCCTTCAGTCAGAGTATGAATGAGTGTTGGTCTACCTCCTTCAGTCAGAGTATGAATGAGTGTTTGTCTACCTCCCTCTTTCAGTCAGAGTATGAATGAGTGTTTGTCTACCTCCCTCTTTCAGTCAGAGTATGAATGAGTGTTGGTCTACCTCTTTCAGTCAGAGTATGAATGAGTGTTGGTCTACCTCCTTCAGTCAGAGTATGAATGAGTGTTGGTCTACCTCCTTCAGTCAGAGTATGAATGAGTGTTGGTCTGCCTCCCTCCTTCAGTCAGAGTATGAATGAGTGTTTGTCTACCTCCATCCTTCAGTCAAAGTATGAATGAGTGTTGGTCTACCTCCTTCAGTCAGAGTATGAATGAGTGTTTGTCTGCCTCCCTCCTTCAGTCAGAGTATGAATGAGTGTTTGTCTACCTCCATCCTTCAGTCAGAGTATGAATGAGTGTTGGTCTACCTCCTTCAGTCAGAGTATGAATGAGTGTTGGTCTACCTCCCTCCTTCAGTCAGAGTATGAATGAGTGTTTGTCTACCTCCTTCAGTCAGAGTATTAATGAGTGTTGGTCTACCTCCCTCAGTCAGAGTATGAATGAGTGTTGGTCTACCTCCTTCAGTCAGAGTATGAATGAGTGTTGGTCTACCTCCTTCAGTCAGAGTATGAATGAGTGTTTGTCTACCTCCCTCTTTCAGTCAGAGTATGAATGAGTGTTGGTCTACCTCCTTCAGTCAGAGTATGAATGAGTGTTTGTCTACCTCTCTCTTTCAGTCAGAGTATGAATGAGTGTTGGTCTACCTCCCTCTTTCAGTCAGAGTATGAATGAGTGTTGGTCTACCTCCTTCAGTCAGAGTATGAATGACTGTTTGTCTGCCTCCCTCCTTCAGTCAGAGTATGAATGAGTGTTTGTCTACCTCCATCCTTCAGTCAAAGTATTAATGAGTGTTGGTCTACCTCCTTCAGTCAAAGTATGAATGAGTGTTGGTCTACCTCCCTCCTTCAGTCAGAGTATGAATGAGTGTTTGTCTACCTCCTTCAGTCAAAGTATGAATGAGTGTTGGTCTACCTCCTTCAGTCAAAGTATGAATGAGTGTTGGTCTACCTCCTTCAGTCAGAGTATGAATGAGTGTTCGTCTACCTCCCTCCTTCAGTCAGAGTATGAATGAGTGTTGGTCTACCTCCTTCAGTCAGAGTATGAATGAGTGTTGGTCTACCTCCCTCCTTCAATCAGAGTATGAATGAGTGTTCATCTACCTCCTTCAGTCAGAGTATGAATGAGTGTTGGTCTACCTCCCTCCTTCAGTCAGAGTATGAATGAGTGTTGGTCTACCTCCCTCCTTCAGTCAGAGTATGAATGAGTGTTTGTCTACCTCCTTCAGTCAGAGTATGAATGAGTGTTCGTCTACCTCCGTCCTTCAGTCAGAGTATGAATGAGTGTTGGTCTACCTCCTTCAGTCAGAGTATGAATGAGTGTTTGTCTACCTCCCTCTTTCAGTCAGAGTATGAATGAGTGTTGGTCTACCTCCCTCCTTCAGTCAGAGTATGAATGAGTGTTTGTCTACCTCCTTCAGTCAAAGTATGAATGAGTGTTGGTCTACCTCCTTCAGTCAAAGTATGAATGAGTGTTGGTCTACCTCCTTCAGTCAGAGTATGAATGAGTGTTGGTCTACCTCCCTCCTTCAGTCAGAGTATGAATGAGTGTTGGTCTACCTCCTTCAGTCAGAGTATGAATGAGTGTTGGTCTACCTCCCTACTTCAATCAGAGTATGAATGAGTGTTCATCTACCTCCTTCAGTCAGAGTATGAATGAGTGTTTGTCTACCTCCTTCAGTCAGAGTATGAATGAGTGTTGGTCTACCTCCCTCCTTCAGTCAGAGTATGGATGAGTGTTTGTCTACCTCCCTCCTTCAGCCAGAGTATGAATGAGTGTTCATCTACCTCCTTCAGTCAGAGTATGAATGAGTGTTTGTCTACCTCCCTCTTTCAGTCAGAGTATGAATGAGTGTTGGTCTACCTCCTTCAGTCAGAGTATGAATGAGTGTTGGTCTACCTCCCTCAGTCAGAGTATGAATGAGTGTTTGTCTACCTCCCTCACAGCTCAAAGAGAGGAGCGAGACGCGAACACTGAAACAAAAAATGTGAGAGGGTTTCAGGCTGTGAACAAAAAGAGAGAGAGAGAGAGGGGGAGAGAGTGAGAGAGGGAGGGAAGGAGAGAGAGGGAGTGAGAGAGAGAGGGATGGAGAGAGAGAGAGAGGGAGAGAGGGGGGACAAGGATTTACAGAAACACAGCGAGCATTCAGATCAAATCCCTCGTCCTGTTTCTGCTTTGATGAAGTGACATGCTCATTCCTGACACTAACAAAACCTCTTTCATCGAACCTGATCATCGATCTCTCCACCGTTCACAACAAATTATTCTTTAAACACTAGACGTGTTGCTTTATGTCCTCTGTCCATATTTCAGTAACCCTCCTCCTCCTCATGGTCTGTGATCATTACTCAGACTGAGGGAGGAGAGGTACACGGACACGCTGCAGCTTTATTCCATATTTATGTTTAGACCTTTTATATGCTGCTGTATCGAGTTAAAGAGAAAAGACCAGAATAAAGTGTTTCTGATTCTAATCAACATTATGACTGAATCTGTCCTTTTTGTTTTCATTATAAACATGAACGAGGTAAACCCTCCCTTTCATGCTGACCTTTGACCTCAGTGTTTAAAGTGAGCCGCTCACTCGATGAGGGTCGCCTCTGATGGACCACAGAACTCGTCTCTGCTATTAAAGGAACATCCTGCACGCCATGCAGGTATCTGTGAATAACTTTGAGATATGAGGGAGAGTAAACAATGATTAAAGTCTCCTTATGTAACATAGACCAGAATAACTCCAGAATCTGTTCTTTGTACAGGGACATCAGAGCTCTGCAGACTGAACCTGCGTGCAGAGTAACCCAGGACCTCCCCACATCCAGAGAGACGCTCCAGAACATCATTTGTTCCACGGGACACTCAGCGTTATTATCCCGACATCCAAAAATCCAGAATTTGAATTGAATCATGTCCACTTTAGGCTTCTGTACCATTAATACTGTTTGAGTTTCTTTAGACTCTAAAAAAAGGTTTGCGTGCTCATATCATTGACTTATTTTATCTTTAGCAGGTCTGATACCTGCATGAACATCTAAAACATCAGCACACACACCTGAACTTACCTTTGGGGGGGACTCACACACACACACGCACACACACACCCCCTCCTGATGTCATCAGCCTGCAGCGTCTCTGCTCGGCTGCAGAACAGTGATCCAGAACTTTCTGTGTGTGTGTGTGCGTGTGTGTGTGTGCGTTGATCCAGGTGTGCTGGTGTCCTCTGTCAGGCCCAGGTGTGAAGGTGTGAAGGTGTGAGGGAGAGTCAGGTGGAGGTGAGGGAAAGTGGTCTCTTTGATTCAGTGACGCTCGGTTTATAAAGCTGACAGATTATTGCTGCATTCATGTGCTGCTCGGGCGCTCCAAGTTTCCGAGTATGGAAGAGCGAATGGAAAAATACAGAAAGATAAAATATATGATGAGTGATTGTTCAGGTGTCGACGTTGTTCTCCAAGCTGACGGTTTGGAGCAGCTTCTGGTATTCTTCCTCTTTAAAGTGTCTCTAATATTCCTCTTTGTTCAGAAACTCTGGCCACATTCAAACAATCAGACTTCAGTCTGATTGTTTGTTGTTCCTACTTCATCATCATAAGGGAAATTACATTACAGAATGAAAGTCAGAAACAGGAAAGGCTTACAGATTTATCCTTACATGGATGGAGCATAGAAACACCTCCCCCCACCCCCCCGGCCTCCCTCACCGTCTCTCCTCCGCCCCTGAAGAACCTCCGCCCAGACAGCTGAGAGCAGAGGAGCCGGAGCTGCAGCGGAGGATTCAGACTGAACATGATCTGTGAGGGCCACACCTGATCCTAGACCTGGTCCTACATCTGATCCTTCACCTGATCCTAGACCTGGTCCTACATCTGATCCTTCACCTGATCCTAGACCTGGTCCTACATCTGATCCTTCACCTGATCCTAGACGTGGTCCTACATCTGATCCTTCACCTGATCCTAGCCCTGGTCCTACATCTGATCCTTCACCTGATCCTAGACGTGGTCCTCCAAGAACATGAATGAGATCAAGATCTGTGTCCTGGGTAGCGAGGGGGTCGGAAAGTCAGGTAAAAAAAATCTGGAAAAAAAACTGGGACTAGACGGAGGAGAGAAAGTGAGCGTCACCATGGTTACCGGTCTGTTTACCTTGTCTGTGTGTTTACCTGTCTGCAGCTCTGGTCGTGCGTTTCCTCACCCGGAGATTTATTGGAGAATATTCTTCTTCTTCAGGTGAGAGTCTGTTGTCGCTCTTTAATCAAACTATAAACTGTCTTAATTACACCTGTGAAACAGCGCCACCTGCTGGACGCTGTCGGTGAAACATGCAGTATGACGTTTACTGAGAGTAATCGATTACATTTAGTCAGTAAAAAGATCATCAGATCACTCGGCTGTGTTTCTGTCTTGATGCGCAGAGGGATGTGTCACATGTTAAACTCAACGTTTGATTTAAAATGTGCACTCAGAAGCGTCAACATCAGTGTGTGACGTTCAGGGCTGCAGGTCATGACGACATCGTTTTATACCATCATTAGAAACATCCGTCACACAGAAGATGCAGCTCTCTGTTTCATGTCTGATGTGATCGACAGGATGAGAAAGAGCTGCAGAGCTTCAGAGCTGAACATATCAAATATAAATATGATGCAAAATCATCACACTCACTTTAAATTTATCAAATCACCTTCATCTGCCCTGTAAAAATAAATCTCTGTGTGCTTGTGAGTCCTGTGACATGCAGCTCTGATCAAGATGTTTGACTATTAAAACCTGTTTTTTTTTTTAAATCTCTCTTTGTAACCTACGGTGGCCCTAAAGGTCAACTGCAAAAACATTTCATGAAACACAAAAACGTAGTACCCAAAGTGCCACAAGCTGGTGCCTGTGTTTTGAGCTTGTGAGAGTCTAAGTGTGACCGTTCTCTTGTGTGTGTGTGTAAGATGGTGAGAGGACTCCTCGGTGACCAGTTGCTGCAGGTTACTGTTCATGATCAGAGCAGATAGCGCACTGGACACACGCCGCTGTGTGGTCGATATTAAGTATTGTAGGATAAAAGTGTAACTCTGTTGTCTGTCACCGATCTGATGCTAACCAGCTAATCTGAGACTTCTGCTAATTGCTTCGTGCCGCTAGCTTCTCCTCCTGTAGCCGCCACGTTCGAGAAAAGTCACCGTATCTCTGGACCTGAATTTTAGGATTCACAGCAGATTTAATGATTATCATATGATCATGATCTCTCTCTCTCTCCCTCGCCTCCTCTCCCTCTCGTCCTCCACCTCTCTCTTTCTCTCGATTGTCTCTTTGTTTATTTTGTGTTTTATTGTCGATATTTAAAGTCGTACTTTTGTCTCTCAGAGTGTATCTACAGGAAGCGTGTGAGTGTGGACGGGAGGCAGGTGAACCTGGAGCTCTACGACCCCTGCTCTCAGGTGAGGTCATGGCTCCTTTAATCCTGCAGCAGGATGACCTCTCTCTCTCTCTGTGACCTGTGTTGTTGTTTTATGACTCTGCTCATTAGATATCATTCAGAACATTTGACCTGATGGGTCATTACAGAGTCCGTCTCCAT